CTTCTCTTGCCTAATTGCTTTGGCTAGAATTTCTAGTACTGTATTGAATAGGAGTGGTGAGAGTGAACATCCTTATCGTGTTCCAGATTTTAAAGGAAATACTTTGTTTTTCTGCATTCTCCATAATGTTGGATTTGGGTTTGTTGTATATTGTCTTTATTTTGTTGAGGTAGGTTCCATCTGTCCCTATTTTCTTCAGTGTATTTATCATGAACAGGTGCTTAATTTTGTCAGAGATATTTTCTGCATCTATTGAGATGACTGTGATTTTTGTCCTTGTTTCTATTTATGTGGTAAATTGCACTTATTGATTTGTATATGTTAAAGCAGCTTTGCATCCTTGGGATAAAATAAACTTGATCATGATGTATATAATCTTCTTAATACACTGTAGAATACAACTTGCTAATATTAAGGATTTTTTTAAACTTTATTACCTTTATTTATTTATTTACTTTTTTATGTGGTGCTGAATATCAAACCCAGGGCCTCACATGTGTTAGGCAAGTGCTCGACCACTGAGCCACAACCCCAGACCTGAGGATTTTTCATATAAGTTCATCAGAAGTAATGGTTTGAAGTTTTCTCTCCTTGATGGCTTTTTTTTTTTTTAAATGAGGGTAATACTGGCTTCTTATATTGAATCTGACAGTGTTCCATTTCTTTCTATTTCATGGAGTAATCTGAGGAGGATTGGTATTAGTTCTTTTAAGGTCTGATATAACTTGGCTGAGAATCCATCTGGTCCTGGGCATTTATTTGTTGTGCAAGACTTTAATTGTTCTTTGGCTCAATGCTTGATATTGTTTTGTTTAAGTTTTCCATATCTTTATGGTTCAATTTGGTTAGATCACATGTGTGTAGAAATCTGTCAATATCTTCTATATTTTCCAATTTATTTGAGTATACATTTTCCAGAAATTTCCTAATGATACTCTGAATTTCTGTTATGTCTGGTGATTTCTCTTTTTTCCTCTCTAATTTTACTAATTTGGATTTTCTGTCTTTTTTGTGGTTATTTTGGCTAAGGACTAATCAGTCTTTTCAAAGAAACAACTCTTTGTTTCATTGATCCTTTGTATTTTTTTATTCTTTTTTTGGGGTGTGTGGGGATTGAACTTAGGGGTACTCAATCACTGAGCCACATTCCCATTCCTATTTTTTTTTTAGAGACAGGGTTTCACTGATTTGCTTAGTGCCTGGCCTTTGCTGAGACTGGCTTTGAACTCAAGATCCTCCAACCTCAGCCTCCAGAGCCACTGGGATTACAGGCATGTGCCACTGTGCCCATCCTGTATTTATTTGCTTTTTTTTAAAAAATATTTTTTAGTTGTAGATGGACATAATATCTTTATATGGTTTTTACGTGGTGCTGAGAATCAAACCCAGTGCCTCATATGCTAGGTGAGTACTCTACCACTGAGTACTCATAATTTCATTTAAAAAATTGTTTTTTGGCTCTGATCTTGATGATTTACTTCCTACTGGTTTTGAAATTGGTTTGTTCTTATTTTTCAAGAGTCTTGAGATGCATCCTTAGGTTGTTTATTTGGGATATTTTTGGTTTTCTTAGATAGACATTCCTCTTAGAACTGCCTTCATGGTATCCCAGAGGTTCTGATGTAGACCAATGAGGCTGGACACCCAAGGAAATTTTTTTTTTAATATTTATTTATTTATTAGTTATTGGCGGACACAACATCTTTGTTTGTATGTAGTGCCGGAGGATCGAACCCAGGCCGCACGCATGCCAGGCGAGCGCGCTACCGCTTGAGCCACATCCCCAGCCCCAACCAAGGAAATTTTTACGATGCAGGTTTATTTAAGCTGAAGTGGTCGAGAAGTGCTAATGTCTAAAATTATCTGGACCACAAGGCTGGAAATTCTTTTAGATTTATACTCAGTGTGGTGGGTGCATGAAAGTAGGTGGGTACAAAATAGTTATTTTTTGTCCCACATTCTTAGCTAGACAGAGGTTTCACAAGTTTATACTATGGAGAACAGAGTACAACAAGCTTGATTGCTGACCTCACTTTTATAAGAAAGCGAAACCTGGCCTTTATAAGAAAGAGGAAGCTTCAAACTACACTGAGCCCTCTGCAGAACTCCTGTGAAATCCTGTTGACACTTTGTGTAAAAATCTTTTTTTGATAAGAAGATAAGCTTAATTATGGCAAGGTCTTTTGGGTGGGATACCTGTTGGTTGCATCAGTTCTGGTACATTGTACCACTGTTTTCATTTGATTGTATGAATTTTTAAATTTCTCCCCTAACTTCTTCTGTTATCCATTCATAATTCAGAAGTGTATTCTTCAATATCCAAGTGTTAATATAGTTAATATAGTTCCTGTAGGTTTTTTTTAGGTTCCTGTTGATTTTTTAGAAATCAACTGGTGTTGATTTCTAATTTCATTTCATTATGATCTGATAAGAGGCAAAGAATTATATAATTTTTATTTTTTTGCAATTGTAAGAGTTGCTTTGTGACTTAAAATATTGTCTCTTTTGGAGGAGATTCCATGAGCAGATGAGAAGAATTGTATTTAGCTGTTTTTAATGAAATACTATATAGATATCTATTAAGTTCATTTGGTTTATAATATTTTTATGTATAAAGAACCTTAATCATTTTTGACTGGATGACCTATCTGTTGGTGGGAGAGGTACACTGAAATGAACCAGTATTATTGTACAGTGGTCTGAATGTTTAATTCAAGTATGGTCATTGCAATGTAGTTTGGTGCACTAATGTTTGGGGCATAAATATTTGCTATCATTATATTTTCTGGTTGGATTTTTTTTCCTTTACTGTTATGAAGTGACTTATTTTCTGATTAATTTTGGTTTAAAGTCTGCTTTGATGCATATGAGAGTAGCTATTCTTGCTAGTTTTTGGGTTCCATTTGCACAGTGTTAAATTTCCATCCTTTCTCTCCTCCCTTCCCCTTTTTTTTCTTTCTATCAGGAATTGAACCTACGAGTGCTTATCTATTGAGCCACATTCCCAGCCCTTTCTATTTTTTATTTTGAGACAGGGTCTTGCTAAGTTGCTTAGGGCCTTGCTAAGTTGCTGAGGCTGTCTTTGAACTCAAAATCCTCCTTCCTCAGCCTCCTAAGCCACTGTGATTATGGGTGTCTGCCACCATGACTGGCTGTCAATACTTTCACTTTCAACCTGTGGCAGTCTTGTCTGTGAGGTGAGTCTTGTGCAACAATATATAGTAGGTCTTGATTTTTAATCCATTCTGCCAGCCTATGTTGTTTAATTAGAGAATTGAGACCTTTTACATTCAGTGTTACTATAGACAGGTGTGTTTATTCATTTCTGCCATTTTGATTTTTTTTTTAATGTCTTTGGGGTTACTTGCCCCTGTTATCCCCTCTAGTCAATCCTACTTGAGTTCTATTAGTTAGTTTGAGGTTTTTGCCCCTCCTCCTCTCCTCCTCCTCCTCCTCCTCCTCTTCTTCTTCTTCTTTTAATATTTCTTTTAGATGTTGATGGACCTTTATTTTATTCCTTTATTTATATGTGGTGCTGACAACAGAACCCAGTGCCTCATACATGCTAGGCAAGCACTCTACCACTGAGCCATAGTACCAGCCCTTCTTCTATTTCTTTATATTAAAGTGTTATTTAAGTTTGAATGTGGTTAGTTTGTATGTAGAGTGGGTTGTGCCATCTTGTGGCTGGGTTTAGTTCAGCAATAGAGTCTCTATCTGTGAACTGTAGTATCTGTAGATTCCCAACACCTCACAGAAAAGGGGAAACAAACAATAGCAATAATTGAAGCAAATAATATACAGCCTTAAAATAAGTACCCTGAAATCTATGATATGTACAACATTATTTACCGCCCCCCCCAAATAGGTATGGTGGGGTAAGCACCTGCCAACAGTAAAAACAATAGCCATGAAGTAGATCTGGTTTTATAGTAAACAGTAGGTATTAACTATGTCATCCACAGTACTAATAATTGCAACAACATGAATAGTGGGGGCAGGAGTTATGTAAACGAAATAGTTCTAAAAGATAGTACAAATACAGTTCATATGAGAAAAGAAAGTGTCATAGGTAGGTAAAAGAAAGTTTAGAATATTCAAAATGTAAACAGAATACAGAAGAGATGTAGCAAGTGATGGCTACAAAGGCAGAATAGAAAAAATAGAAACAAAGTAACGGTAGAGAGAAAAAGAACAAGAGTATTTGATGTTAGTGGAAGAAGAAAGGAGAGAAAGAGAAACAAGGAAACAAAACAAAAGAACAACACAATAAACAAAAACCCCCAACCCTCAAACCACAAGAAAAAATAACCATTATAAAAAATACTAAAAAGGGGCTGGGATTGTGGCTCAGTGGTAGCCTTACATGTGTGAGGTACTGGTTTTAGTTTTCGCACTGCATATAAATAAATTAATGAAATAAAGGTCCATCAATAATTTAAAAAAATTTATAAAAATGCTAAAAATGAAAAAAAAAAGAAACATATATCACATATATATTGGCACAGCAAGAACACCCAAAAACAAAAAACAAAGAGGAAAAAAGATTCCTAAAATGTGAAAAAATTATCTCCACTGAGGTGGTCTGGTCAAAATTGTCAGTGAGGATGAATGGTCACTGTCTGTGCTCAACTCTCCTTATTGCTGTGTATTGAAGGAGAGAAAAAGAGGTCTGAGGGTTGTTAATTCTTTCCTCTCTTTTTGTTGCTTATTGAGTTTACAGCTGAAGTGGTCTGAAACTGAAACTGGCTAAAATAGCTCTCAGCTTCCTTTCTTCCCAGTATAAGGTAGATCAGAATGGGAAGAATTGTCTATTTGAGTTTTTCCAGTACCCAGATCATTGTATTCCTAGGGTTGCAATGTTGCAGAGTTTAAAGGGAGGAATTCCAGTAGCTAAGGTTTAGGTCTAAATAGGCCTTAGGCACTTTGTTGGGTGGTATCTGCTCTGGAGAGATTAAATTAATATACTCCTGAGGCTAAGCAGATGTGACTTCTGGGAATGTGGATCTCAGGAGCTTCATGAGAATTCTACTTATGTGGCAAGGGAGTAAATCTTTCACATGGTCTGCTGCCTACAAACATAGGAGTACAGCATTTGTAGGTTTAGTCCCCGAGTATATTCACACCTACTGTTAAGTTTCTTAACCCTCTTCATCTTGTCACGTGAGCCACCAGACTCAAAGGTAAGCATGTTGTGCTCCATTATTTCTGACTTGAATCCCCCTGCCTCTAATCTTCTCTGTGCCTGTTTCACTCACTTTCTGTATGTACACCTTAGACCATAAGATAGGCACTTGCTGGGACCGTTTGGCAATTCCTGCTACTATCTTCCTGGCTCTCGAAGTAATAAGCTATAATGTGACCTCCTCAAGATGGCTCTTGCCTCAACTCTGTGCTTGCTAATTGAGAAATCCATAGCACTTTTCAGACATCAATTATCTGTGTAGCCTCCAGATCAACCAATTTTGGCTGCTTTTCTGAACTCTAGGTTATTCCCCCTAGCTTTATTGAAGTAAAATTGAAGTACAATAAAATGCACATATTTGAAATATGCAATTTGATCAGCTTTGGCATGTATGTAACCAGTAAATCAATATAAAAAACTTTTTCATTAATTTTTAAAAATTTGAAATCATGCATGTCATGTTCTTTAAGAGAAAAACACTCAGGGTCACTCCAGGGGAACTGGACTGCACGAAATAACCACACATGAGACAGAGATACCTTTTCCTTTGGGGGTCCTGTGAAGGCTCCTCTGACCTTAAGGGTCTGCAGAAAGAGAGCGAGCAAGCCCGTGCTAAACCCTTTTTTTGAGAAGAAGCCATTCACATGAGGCAAGGGGTCAGATTTCAGGGGTTGAGTGTAGCTTCCTGATGTCTGCTGTCAGCAGGTTGACTGACATCTAAGAAGGCCACAACCAAAGGCAGAGTAAGAGAATGAGACACACAAAGGGCGTTTCCATGGAACATTCTATCCCAAACAGGGCATAGGGGTAATATCACAAAGGAACAGGTGAGCATAGCTCAATCTAAGGAGCTACACACCTTAGTCTGAAGAAGCATCCTCAAACTTCTGGGACCAGGACAATGTCCAGGTCACTACAAGATGTAGTGATGGTCAAAGCCTTTCCGGTTCAGGGAAGGAGAATGCGAGTCATTCAGACTGGCTCCCCACACATGCAGATGGTGTTTCCTGCCTACATGATTACTTAACATTAGAAATCAATCACCTTAAGATATATAGAACCCCACCCCTACATGTCAGCTATTTCAAAACTAAACATCACACTTATACATATCTCAGTGGTCAAGGAAGAAAGCACAAGAAAAGTAAGTAAAAAGTAGTTTGAACTAAGTGATAATAAAAGCTTGAGGGCTGGGGCTGTGGCTCAGCGGTAGATTGCTTGCGTAGCATGTTCAAGGCCCTGGGTTCGATCCTCAACACCACATAAAAATAAACAAAATAAAAAAGTATTGTGTACAACTATTAAAAAAAATAAAAGCTTGAAATATCAGGATCTCTGGGATGAAACCAACTCAGATGAACATTTATAACTTTAAGTACTTGTATCAGAAAGAAACTAGAATAACAATCAAATTATTTTCAAATTATGTAGTAGGAAGGAAAAATTAAAAGTAGGATCAGAAATATATGAAATAGAGAAGAAATAATACAGCTAAAATTTGATATAAAAACAAACAAATCTAATCAAGAAAAAAGCAAGAACACAAAAATTAGTATCAATGGAAGGGGAGCTATCAAAATAATGCTACTGATGCTAAAAATATTTTAAAGTAATAGTACAATTGTATGCCAACATATGTGATAGCTTATATAATATGTTCCATATTAGAGAAGGATCCATGTGCTGCTGAGAAGAAAGTATATTCAGTTCTTGATGGATGATTTATTTTATATATGTTAAGTCTGAATTATCAGTTGTATTTTTAAACTTCTTTAGCTTCTTTATTTAGTTTTTGTTTGGAGGATCTATCCAGTGGTGAAAGAGGCATGTTAATGTAACCCAGTTTTATTGTGTTGTGGTCTATTTGATTCTTGAAGTTGAGAAGGGTTTGTTTGGTATACATAGGTGCTCCATGGTTTGGGACATAAATATTTATGATTGTTTTGTCTTGTTGATGTATGAACAGTATGAAATTTCATACTTAAGCAGTATGAAATGTCCTTCTTTGTCCCTTCTGATTAACTTTGGCTAAAAGTCCACTTTATATGATATGAGGATAGAACCCTCTGCTTGTTTACACCATCCATGTGAAAACCTTTACTCTGTGGATGCCTTTGCCTTTGGAGACAGCATATTTTTGGGTCTTGTTTTTTAATCCAGTCTGCATGTCTTTGTCTTTTGGTTGATGAGTTTAGGCCATTAATGTTCAGGGTTATTACTGAGATATGATTTGTATTCCTGGTCATTTGGGCTTATTTCTAGTTTTTAATTTGAATTAGTTTCTCCTTTGATCAATTATTCCTTTAGTGTAGTTACTCCCTTTGCTGGTTTTACTTTTTTGTTTTTTTCATTTCATCTTCATGGAATATTTTGTGAAGAATATTCTGTAGTGCAGATTTTCTAGTTACATTTTTTAAAATTTTTGTGTTATCATGGGAGGTTTTTATTTTATGTTCAAATCTGAAGCTTAATTTTGCTGGGTATAGTGTTCTTGGCTGGCATCCATTTTCTTTCAGAGCTTGGAATATGTTATTCCAGGACCTTCCAGCTTTGAGAGTCTGGGTTAAGAAATCAGCTGAGATTTGTGTTTGTTTCCCCCTATGCATAACCTGATAGTTTTCTCTGGCAGCCTTTAAAATTCTATTCTTATTCTGTTTATTAGGCATTTTCATTTTAATGTGCCTTGATGTGGGTCTGTTGTAATTTTGTACATTTGGGGTCCTGTAAGCCTCTTGTATTTGGTTTTCTATTTCATTCTTCAGGTTTATGAAATTTTCTGATATTATTTCATTCAAAAGATTGTGCATTACATGGTTAATACCTCCATGCCTTCATCTATCCTGATAAATCTTAAATTTAGTCTTTTCATATTATCCCATAATTCTTGGAAGTTCTATTTATGGTTTCTTAACATCCTTCTTCTGTGGTCAACTGTGCTTTTAAGATTATATATTTTGTCTTCATTGCCTGAGATTCTGTCTTCCAAGTGGTCTAGTCTGTTGGTGATGCTTTCTAATGAATTTTTAATTTGGCTTATTTTTCCTTCATTTCAAGGATTTCTGCTTTTTTTCTTCAGAATTTCTGCCTTTTTATTGCAGTGATCTTTCACTTCTTGTATTTCCTCTCTGATTTTATTTATTTTTTCATTTTTAAAAAATTTATAGATGGACACAACACATTTATTTACTTTTATGTGGTGCTGAAGATCAGACCCAGTGCCTCACACATGCTAGGCAAACCCTCCGCCGATTAAGCTGCAATCCCAGCCCTGATTTCATTTCTTTTACTGTACTTTACTTCGCAGATCAGTTTAACTATGTACATTCTGACTTCCTTCTCTGATAATTTTTCCAATGTGGTGTTGATGAGTTCTGTTATTGGATTTTCTTGGTTTAGGGTGTTTTCTTGCCTTGCTTTTTCATGTTGTTTGTATGTCTATCCATCTAACAGTATGAATCTGAGGCAGTAGAGTTTCTACCTTGTGGACTTATAGTGTCTATGAAGGTTTCCAGGACGTCATTATTTAGGGGGAGACAAATAATAACAACCACCAATACAAAAAAATATATATATACAGCATTAAATCGAATAGTTCCTACTATGATGCCTACAGTGTTAATTATCACAATAAACAGAAATGATATAATCATATATTATTGCTTATACTAAAAACAGTAAGTCTGCAAAAGGGCTTATAATTTCAAATGATGGACAGGGAGAGAATAGAAGTGATACAGGATGTAAGGATTATGAGGGAGGAGGAGAGAAGTAAAAGATTAAAGGAAGAGTAAAAGAACAAGAGTGGCTGTTAGCAGAAGAAAAGAGAATGAGGAGAAACAGGTAGGAGAAAAAATTAAAAATAAAAGAATACAAAACAAGACAAAACTCAAATATGCTAATCAAACAGCCTAGTGTACAAAAAACTAATCCATGAAAAATAACTGGCTTCAAAATGCTACAAATGTGGGAAAAAAACCCCACAAAAATGAGTTTGTATGTGTTTATGTACCATTAAGGTCACAATTAAACAAAGAAAAAGAATAATAATTAAAAAAAGATCTTGATGAAAAGTTAAAGAATTCTTTTCATTGGAGTTCAAGAGATTCTAGTTTCTCTTCTCAGCTGTTTTGGGTGGGGTCATCTGGAGTGTCATGCTCCACCCTCTGGATTGCTGAGTGAGAGAGGTCCTGGAGATAGTATTTAGGCTTAGGTGGGCTTCAGGCTCTTTGCTGATTGCCAATTGGTCTGGAGATTTTAAACGAGTGTACCTCCATCGCCCAATACTTTCTGGTCCATGCTGGAAGACTGTACCCTTGGAATCTCCCCTGGTTTCCATTTGTGTGGTGGGGTGGCCAGTTTTTAGTTTCCTTTGTCACCTGTGGACCTCAGGTTTTCTGGTCTTGGGTTCGGTCTCCCAATAATCTGTCTTGCCCCTGCCCTTCTGAGTTCCTGGCATCTGAAGCAGTTGGATTGGAAGGGGAGTGGTAGAGCCAGATGGGTTTCTACTACCAGTTGTTCCATGTATAAACCTCTCTCCATGTTTGATTTTTCTCATGGTCACTTAAGAACACTCTATGTCATGTGTTCACTGAGCCTATTTCAGGCCAAATTCAGTTTTGCCATGAATTGGCCCCCTCAGCTTCCAGCCCCTGGTAGTAGCTACAAAATGGTTTCTTCCTTTGTTCTTCATATGCCACTTGGAGAGATGGTGGCTTCTGTCCCCACACATGGATATTGTACAGTGAGTCTTTCATGTCTGCTAGGCAGTGTCTTGACATCTAAATGTCCTGTACTCAGACACACCTTGGATTTCCCCAAAATGTGGGTTTCTTTAATTCCCTTATTCTTCCACTATGCTCACAGATGAACCGCTCTGGCTGGTGCTTCCAGCCTGGCTGCTGCAGTGGCTGTGCCACTGGGGATTTCTTCTTTATTTTATTATATCCAACCTCCTGAGTCCTCAATTTGCTTTGAATGTCTAGTTTTAAACTCTAGTAAGGTCCCCTCACTGTTTTTTTTTTTTTTTTTTTTTTTGTTGTTATTGTTAATCTACCTTGCTGAGAAGCTGCCTGTTTGCTTTCTTGGTTTCACTGCACAGAGCAGCCAGGGAAGTGACCTCCTCTATTCAGCCATTTTGAAAAAAGTCCCTGAACTCTAGGTTTTTCCATGCCACATTTGTCTACTGTGTTTCTCTCTGTGTATTATCTCTTGACTTCATGGTGAACCAGCACTGCTGCTGCTCCCAAAACTGGCTTGATTCCAGTGTACTCTTTGTTGTTCTTTGTTTAATGCACTCTAATTTCTGATTCTCTAAAAGACTTTGTCCAATACTTAATTTACATCAATTCCCACTTTCACCCATGTCACTGAGAAGTTGTACTCATGTTGCTTGAATCCCAAGCCACATAGCAACTGGAATATGCCATCTTCATTCCTCCCTTACTTTGAATTTAATGCAGTGCATACTTGTTCTCTACTTCAGTGGAATTTATTTATGTATTAATTAATATGATTATAATTGTTTTTCCAAAGGAGTTTTTTAGTTGTTGATGGTCCTTTATTTTGTAATTATTCATTTATCTGCAGTTCTGAGAATCGAACCCAGTGCTTCAGGCATTCTAGGCAAGTGCTCTATTACTGAGCTACAATCCCAGACCTATAATTTCATTGTTTAGGAGTGCTTATTATGAGGGAATGTTTCCTAGTAAATGGACATTACCTTGAAGGATAAGAGGTTCATTTGAAATCCATTCTTGATGGAACTGGAGGCTGTCATGCTAAGTGAAATAAGCCAATACCCCAAAAATCAAAGGCTGAGTGTTCTCTCTATTATGTGGATGCTGACTCACAGCGGGGAATGGTGTGAAGGGGGGGGAATGGGAATGGTAAAGTCAGTAGAATGAGTCAGGCATAACTTTCCTGTGTTCATATATGAATACATGCCCAGTGTAACTCCATATCATGTACAACCACAAGAATGAGAAATTATGTACTTCATGTGTGTATGGTATGTCAAAATACATTCTACTATCATGTATAACTAAAAATAAAAATTGAAAAATGAAATCTATTCTTGAAATACATCATTCAGACATCAGACAGCAGTGATTCAGTTATGAATAAGACATAGTTCTGTCCTTTTGA